TCTTGGGGGGCTCAAAGTGGGCTTCCTTTTAATATCCGTAAACCTATCACAGAAAGATATTCCCCATGGCTTCAGCCGCAAGGCAGTGATTTGTGCACTGATAGGTGTACTTTGTTTAGTGTCACCCACGGTGTAGATTGGATAGATTTTGTAAAAGATAGCATTACTTTAAAAGAAACATACAATTTGACAAGCGATTGCATTTTACTTTCATTTTATGGCCGTGCTTTTCATCACAGTCATTGTTTTCTAACTGTCCCTAAATTGTTCATTTTCTTAGTCTGTTACATCAGTCCAGCTATTTACTGTTTATAAAGCAATATGCACTTACAGGTTTGGGAGATGGTTTGGGCTCTGAGGGTCGCATGTGCAAGTGGGTCATCATTGCTTGAAGACGCTCACGTTCTTTAGAAAGCTGTTAAGAAAGAGTGAGATCAGAAGCGTTTTAGAAATGACTGATCCAGCTATTTTATTGCAGTGATACATCTTATCATTGAGCTTGTCTCCCAGTAACGATTCCTGCATATAAAAGCCTGGGATGAGAAACTAAGCTGGTAGGAAATGCAACTTTAGCTAGAGAAGGAGAAAACTTTTGTAGCTTTACTTATGTTAAAGGTCAGGGAAAACAAATAACACTTCATCTTTTTGTCAATAAGAGAATTGAGGTCACAGTTGCCTCGACAGTAACAAGTTACCGAAACCATAAATTAGAAGGCCCATGGTGTCTCTTTAAAGTCCTGTGGACACTGTTAGCAATGGACTAGTGCCAACAGCTGTGAAGGGGTGAAGGGTTCTCAAAGCGAAGTGCCTGCCAGGATTGTCTACACACTTCATGCATTCCCACCGAGGTCCAGTTAGTGCCCCCTGCAATCTGCCATCATCAATCTAATTCAATAGAGTGACAGAGACCAGGCAGTGTGAAATGCTGAACTCTGCCACCGAGTCTGCATCTATACTTGTGCTGGGTCTCATTACAACTGACGGACCTTACTTTTCCATCAGTCAGACACAGCAGAAAGAGAGAGAGAGAGAAAAGGGGGGGGGGAGCAGCATAATTGGTCACACTGCAGACTGTATCACCAGCTGACCTCTTGTGTTTCGGTCTGCTTTTGGCAATGGTAAACAGGTCTACCCAAAGCTTTCTGAGCTACTATGAAGATGATGCATTTTACATATTTTACTAATTTTCAACTCAAATATTTTTACTTCTTCATGGACAAAGCAACAGCACGATAGGCTAGAAACAATGTAAAGTACAAGAAAGAGGATAAAAATCTGTTTAATTAAACAAAACAAAGAGTTAGTTTTAGGAAGGCATAAGAGAAGAGGCCTTAATGGGGTGGCAAACCATAACAAAAGGAAAACTGGAGAGCCAAAATGGCATTCTGACGAGTTTTACAATTTTGGTTTATTATTTGGCTAAACTCTGCTTTAATGTTAAGTTCGAAAAATAAGACTTCAGTAGCATTTATATAGTACCTATAACACCATCTGTGACATACATTCTTTGACATTATGTTAGCCAAACAGAAAATTAAGTATTGTAACATCTTAAGTTCTGAATGCAGTAGACACAGAAATGAGGCTATTCTTCAGGGTAGTTCATTCACACTATTAATAAGAGTGAATCTTTTGTTATAATATACAATCCTGTAGTGCAGGGGGAACCCAGATTAGCTTGTATAAAAATCTGTTTGGGCAACAATGTCATATCTTATGAGATTTGGTTCTAGGTCTACAATAGAAAAACTATAGATTTAACAGGTTGGAAATATTCAAATATATATACAACAGGGCCTAACACTTATATAGGTCCAATTGATAATAACATCAAAGTATAACAATCTAACCTGCTATTAACTGATGTTATTAAAAATAATTCAAACTCCAGGTATCTGAACAATTACAGTGTTTCTAAGACAATATGATGCAGCCAGGAAGATGAAGCCACTTGCTCAGTACGCAGCATACCAGAACTTGGAGGAAAAGTGCACATTAAGTGATCACATGACCAACCTGTATTTCTAACTGCTGTACCACCTGCATTTGTACTCGACACTGGGCAGTACTTCGGTCGTCCAATGCATGTTCGTTGTTAAGGTGCCTGGGAAACACAAGAGACAACACAGACTAATGAGTGATACCTAGTGGTTGATTTAAAAGTACTACCTCTTAGACGAGTATGTAGATTCCTCTGAAGTTGGACAGCAGAATGCCTTGCGGTCACAAAGAAGGTAAATGTACTTCAGTGTTCAGTGAAAATTACTTGTGTACTACAAAGAGGCTCTTCAAATAGTTAAAAACATCATTGTCTCCAGGCTTGTATTATTACAGAAACATTTCTCCATCCACTTACGGAGCAGATACAGAAAACATGATATATTTCATATACTTTTCCCATTTTCTCTGAAAAGAGTATCGTGTGTGTGTGTGTGTGTGTGTGTGTGTGTGTGATAGGCAATTTTCTATTTTATTTGTACTAAAAAGTTTGTTGTTTGTATGTTGATTTTTTTTTGAGAAGCATCTAACACCAGGATGTGGTGTGAATTACATAAAGGTGTTGGACTTTTCCATTGAAACATCCAAACCCACAATTACTGATAATTTTATGTTACTAATACATAAAATGCATTGAAGTTTCAGAATAATAGTATTGATACTTCAAGTAAAGAGTCCGAATTGGGACAAATCTCTAACATACATAAGGATGGCTTAAGAGGTCATTCTAATGATGTTACGCTAATCTTAACATGTGTGCTTACTATTTTACACAAGGCTTGCAAGTGTCTCCAATGCATGGTATCTCACTGGACCAAAACTATACTAACATAGCAGCACTTTCAATAAACATGGAAATATCCCATAAGGTTTGCTCTGTAATTTATAATATATTATTAGATGACTTCCTAAATTATGAAAATAATTTTCAGATTAATTCAGTTTCTTTTGGTATGTCCACTTATCCAATGGGTAAATGAAGACAGCAACTTAAGAAACACAGAAAGGGAAAAGGTATATTGTGTAAAACACATAATTAAGAATTCATATAATTACCTCTATATATTACAGTATTATTTAAGACAGTTTGGAAGCATTTCTTGTAATTCTAAGCATACTGAATTAAAGAAATCATGGTGTTCCCATTTTTACTCATGCTTGTTGAAGTGAATTAAGCAGAAAAATAATGAACAGGTTCATATGTAATGCACTATGAAGATTTAAGGTGTCAGTGACTCATAACTAATGTGTAAATACGTGGGATTATCTGCTGGTAGGTCTAGGTTCAGACATCAGAAACCTTTGCTCCTTTCCACCCCAACTTTGATAAATTAGGCCAGTTTGTTTTAACACCTTCTCACTGATTATAGCAACAAACCTCCATGCATCTTGCTATAATTGCCAGGCTTGGCTGATGATAAACTGTGGACTAAAATAGTGAGGTGGATCAGGTCAGTCTGGAGTTGTGTGCCCAGGGCACACAAGCGTTCCTTCCCACCTCTCCTGTCTGCTCTGACTCAGCTCCAGCAGAATCTGCTAGGAACCTCGCTGTAATGAGGGATGGAATCATTCAATCTCTCTGGGAAGAGAGCATAGAATGTCAGAGTAAGGCAAGGTTTAGTGAGTGGCATAAAATGTCACTAATTTCTAATAAACAAGACATCATTAAAAATATTCTTCATGGTTTTGTCCCCCAAAGTTTAGTGAACAATGGAGCAATATCCTAGCAGTATTAGCACAATAATCTGTTGCATCCTTATGGTTTGGTATTGTTGTGTTTGTGTGAGATATATTTTTCTTCCACCATGAACTCTTAGAGAATACACACATAATTTATCCTGCAATCAGCCTACAAGATGCATGTTTTAAATAAGCTATACATAAAGGTTAGGATATAAATAGAGCACAGAAGATAAACAGATGATGTAGTTTTACCTGAATAGGTATATTCAGTATAACATATACTTTTGCATGAAACCACTTTTTAAAAAATAATTTTTATACTTGTTTATTTCTTAGTGATAATTATATTTATAGAACTAAAAAAGTACAAGATGTTTGTATTATATACTTGGGTCTTAGAGACCTATTCAATTTATCTCTGCAGCTTTTATTAGAATAGAGACTGGAGACTACAATAATAGTCAATGAGGTTTTGTCTTGATTGAATTTTTCAGTGGAACACAAAAGAACCTTGCCATTAAAATAGTCCTTTATTCTCCTGTATGAAGGCGAAAGGTTTTTAAAGTGTTGTGATGTTCAGTAATGAGCCTCTATCTAAATTATCATTGGTGACAAACTCACAAAGCACTTTTCGAGGACACATAGTTATGAAATGCCACGGCTGCCACTTTCTTTCCTGTAATTATAGGCTAGCTTGCAGCCCTTCAATGATCATTTATAGAACAGCCTCCAGTGGATTACTGAGAACTTGAAAAACACATACATACCTCTGCCACATCTCCCTTATCCTTTCCTCGCTATTGTTTACCAGTGATATGTAAAATAATGGTGCCTATTCATTCCCCCTACTTAATTATGCCAATCAAAGTACAGAAATAGTGTCGGATATAAATACAAAGCAATAAGACCAAATAAATAGGCTAAGTATTAACATTAAATTATGAATTTATGTATTTATGACTATTTTGTGCTCAAATTATTCTCTTTTATGTTTTTATAACCATCTCAGGTACTACATATTGCTGTTCAAAAATTCTCTATGATTTATAAATCAAGAATGAGATAATACTGAAAAATGAGAGGATCGGTGGATTTTTGCAGTCAGTGTCTAATTGCTGTTTCAAAATGCATATGCAAAGGGACATTTCATTAATCATTTAATCATGTCCCTTGCAGGAAGTTGGAACTAATGTTGCCAATACCCTTTTCATATGAATCCTCCTTGATACCATCTTACGCATTTGATATATTGCCTATGTCATAAATTATGGGTTCTTACAAAGGACCAAGTGGGATTGTTATCCCAGAAGATGCTTGTTAGAAAATCTTTATTAACTTTCTTATTTTACTTATTGCTAGTTCTATTTCACAGCTTCATACTGGCCCACAATAATGCTTTTTGGTGGCAAAGGTCTGTAAATTACCCATGCAATCACTAACACCATTTCACAGGCCTGTTCTACTTCTACTGGTCTGCTAACAAGGCGATTACACACAAATTACTGAATGCCTATGAAATATTTAAATGCATTCTACTCTACTATGCATTAATAAGAGCAAAGCAAGCTCTGGAATTCTGGTTAGCTCCAGTCCCTAATGTCCCCTAATGAGCCTCTTACCGAGACTGCAGTTCAAACAGAGAGGTGAAGAAAAAACGCAAAGGGGGCCTTCAGAAAGGCAGCACTGAGCAAACATCGTGGGAGCCACTTCTAATTTATGGGTCACTTTATAGCTATATTGATTTTTGTTTTCAAAATGGAATAAATGATGTGGTCGACTGACGTTCTTTGAGAACTGCATTGAATCTGTGTGCTAGGTAGGTGGTGTGAACTACAGAAAAAAAGCATAAATAGAAGAAGTCTTTCTAAAAACAATTAAGCAAACATTTCAGGAAGACAGAAAGTATGGGAGGAAATCCTTCCAATTTATTTAACCCACAATTCCCTTCAACGAAGCTTTTATGGTTATGGATGCATGTGTTAACTTCAATTATATACATTGCAGATTAGCAATTCAATTTTAACCTCTAGATTTTTCAAATTCATTTAAAGTTATAGCATTTTATAAGCTAAAATCGGGGATGTGGGTAAATCCAATTGTCTCAGAGACTGTTTTAACAAAATGTTTCCCTCGCACATCACTGGGGGTTGATTTATTTTGCATCAAGCTTTTTATGTTTAAGCACTGACAGGAGTTTAAATACAAAATGTTAGCTGTCACTATTCATTTAGCTGATTACGTGAGATGCCTTAGTTTTGAAAGATATGGGCACTGTCACCAAAAGAAACAACATTCTGACAAGTTCAAAGGATGCCGTCTTGAGGTCATAATTTTGTAGCCATGCCGCCTAGTGAAAGACAAAGAAATAGACAATACACTCTAAGTAAGAACATAAATTTCAGAGGAGTTGGCTGCAAGAGAAAGAAAACAAATTTCCACTAAATAAACAAATAAATCTGTTACCACTGCTTTTTCTGCTTCTCATTCTACAGTATCAATTCTCAAAGCACCAATCACCAACAATCTTCATTCACTCATGCTCATTGTCTAATTTTAATTTGTTACATTTGTAAAGGACAGTTTTTTTTTCTGGTGCTGCATCTCTTCCTGCGTTTTGTTTGCTGGCACCTGTGCAGGCAAGTTCAAGAACACTTGTCTGCTAACCGGAATGCTGCACTCTAAACCTTTTGGCTTAGGCTTTGAAAGTCAATACATCTATATTCAAGCCGACTTTGGTGCAATGGGATGGTAATTAGTTCTGCAGTCAAACTACACTAAAGTTTTGTCAGATGTGATTACACTTTGACATTTATAAGACAGTAATGAAGAAGAAGTATTAATGCTTTTAGTGATCTTGTGAGTTCCTCAATTGATGGTCAGAAAAAAAGAATGGTTAAGTTCTGTCAATTCTCACTTTCCAGTAAGTTATGATTTTTCTCCTGAAGGATGTTAGATTGGACTTTGTCTTGTATTTTTGCTTCTCTTCTATTTTTACACCAATATCTGTATTAACTTGCATTTTTTGTTCAGTAGAAAAGTATACCCTACATGTTACTAAATGTGTAGATAAAATAAAATTCTTGAGAATAATAACATGTGCTTTCTGGGAGAACATATATATATATGTGTGTGTGTGTGTGTGTATCATATACATACACATATGTATATATGTACATATATATGATGTTGAGTGAACTTTTTCTTGAATAAATGAAGTATTTTATTAATAACACATTTTATTTCTCTTCAAATTTTTCACATATCTTTAAGAAAAAGACAACACAGTACAGGAAATAGACAATAAATAATTCACTTCAGTGAAGTATACTGTCATTAATTATGAACCAATTTTATCACAGATCTTAAAATTTGAGAATATAAAGCATATCCTTTTAAAAATAGGGTAGAAGTAATAACTTAAAATCTACTGTCATTAGTTCTGTCATTCCTAAAAAGTGATTGGGTAGAAAAGAAGTGAATTTTTGGAAACCCAAGTTGGTATGTAATTGAAACAAATTGTTTTCTTAATTGTAATTTCTCCAATTAAAAAATCTCATGCAAATATGAAAAGAGACCATGGAGGATAAAACAGAGTTCACTTTCATTTACTTGCTAGTGATAAAAATGAAATACTTGAGGTGTGTGAAAAATGTCTTCATATATCTTAAAGGACAGGTATGCCTTTTCCCTCAGAAGGTGAGCCACATTTTAATTAAAATATATTTAGAGCGAGAAAATACATATGAATAGTATTATAAATTCAGTTTTCATTTCTACAACATAGCGTCAGTCATCTTAGGAACAACCCGTATCATAGCAGATGATAAACAGCAATGATAGAGATGAAAGTTATGAAATTATTGTTAAAATAATTTACATTGTTAGATTTTTTGTTTCAGGCCATTTTGTAGTAGAAAACTTCAACAAGGCTACTTAACAATTTTTAAATACCCTCTGTGGTGGAAATAGTATAATAAATTTCACACCCAGCAAAATGGCAGCTCACAGTTGGTCTGGTGTAACAGACGTGTAAATTTTCATTTGAGTCCATTTCTAAAGAGCCGTTGTGATATGTGAAGCAAATTTTCTCTTAATTGGTCTGAAACTATGAAAGGTTAAAAAAAATCTTCATGGCAGTCTTCCTGTAATCATTTATAAAGGTATTATGATACCAAGTGCTTGCCTTGTTGTCAGGGAGCTTTGGCTCTGTACTCTGCAGTCAGTCTACCATTTGTAAACACATCTTTTTGATGTTTCTGCCAACATCCTGGCGACAAAGCAGTGCAATTTCAAATGAGCTAATTAACTTAATTGTTGATGAAGCATGAAACAGTTCATTCACCCTGTTAGCTGTACCATGACAACACAAGAGGCTCAGCCTGTGAAGTTACTCATCTCCATAAACCTGTCTACTGCTCTCTGTTCATATCTTCTCTGAGCCAATACTGTACGCAGACAAATCATTCATGAAAAGGGGATGTTCTCATTTGCAGAAAGACCCTCAAAGAAGCTTTGAAACTAAAATATTGTGCGGAGTTATAAAGGATGCTCAGGGTTTGATTTTATATAATTTATTTTCCAAGCACACCATCATAAATGGCAAAAGGTAACAATGTGAGTGAAATGTGGCTCTTTCTTCAAATGTTAGACATCACTGATTTTCGTTTTTGAAAACCATCATTTAAAGGAAAAGTACAAAGTATGTTACTGTAAATAAACATACAAAATATGTCTATTTTAACTAACTTAGAAATATTTTATGATTATTCAAATATTACATGAAACTATTATTAAAAATTTCAATTTTCAGAGAATGTTCATTTACAAACCCACCCCACTACTATAGCAGGCTCATATTTCCATTGATTGAAAACCTTAATTTGCAAAATACTTTCATAAACAGATGAATATGAACTATTAACAATCTTAGTCTGACTTTGCCAATCCACTTGTTGAAACAAACTGAGAAATTCAGTGTGTTCTAGGATGGGCCCATCTCTTCATCCTTCCTTCATGTTGTATCTATTAGACTGCAGTGTACCAGAATTCCCACATAATCTGCTCCCCTTTCCCCATGAAAAGTTAAAAACAACCTACTTCAAAAACTGTCCAAAATCTTCACATATGCTTTCACAGCCTGGCCACTTGCAAACTCCATGGCCATAGAGAGTGTGGGAGGCCCCCGTCTCCTCATGTGACGAGCTGTAGCAAGAGAACACAAAGTCAGCTTCATCTCAGAAAGCCATAATCGTTGCAGGCTGCTAGCGCCTGTCAGGGTACCATCAGTGACAAACAGGTCAAAACAGGTCAATTCAGCTCAGAGCAGTGAGAAAAATTTAATCGTTCTATTGAATAGTTCAACTGCCAAGGCTAGATGATGTTCCAATTAGAGTAGAAATAGAGCCAAAGATGACTGTTAATAAAGGATGAAAAACTAAGAGTACTGTATAATATCATATGCTAATCCTGCCATATGACCTTACTGTAACATTTTACCTCTAAATAAAAAAATATATAACCTTACGTTATGGAGTGGGAAAATATATTTTAATGAAAGCCATATGAAAAATCATCACAATGTTTTTTAAATGATTCTTTAAAAAGCAATATGAACACTAGGATCTTTTAAACGAATACTCGTTGTGCAAACCATACACACAAATCTTCCTAGTAGCTACAGCTGACTTGAAAAACCCTGCTTTGGAACAGTATCTGTTAGCAATATCCTTACATAATTACGGCAGGCCTTTAATAAGTGGGTATTATATCAGATAGAGAGATCCTAGAAAAACTAACCTATTTCTGAAGTATATAATCATCAAATTAATCTCAATTAAAACAACAGCATGAAAGCATCCAGAGTCCCTGCATTCAGTAATAAAAACTAACATGAAAACCCACATGCGCTCAGATGAATGCTGGGAACATTACCATACTTTGGTCTTCTATTTTAAACAGTGATGTAATTTCTCTTACGTTTGTTTAGGAAGAATCTATGGCCAAGTGTTTGGTGCATTTATGCAAACATGTTGTTACATGATGGAACATCAATCTACATGTTCCTTTGGGAGCAGCACAGTCTGCCTGTAAACCACCTCATTATGAAATTCTGCACCAAATCTTCAGGTTTTAAAACCAAGTTTTCATTTATAGAATTTTTTCGATCATACACTTTACATGAGTTATTTGAAAAGATTTGATTTGTAAGTGATGTGCTTAAGCTAGTAGAATTAAGTCAGGAGAAAATACCTGGAGGCTCCTTTTTGAAGGGCAGTTTTAACACAACTAAGATGAAACACTCAGTTGGGAAGTTATCTCACACCATGTAATACTAATGGAAATAGTCAAATGATTTTCCTGCATGCAATGTCATCTAAATTTATTTTAAAAATCATCAATATATATTCATTTAAATATTTTTACTAATCCCATCACATGAGAACAATAATCAAGCAATTCTGATGATCAATTTTTCTGGATTATATAATGTTCAGCTAGTTTCTAATTTGTAAGTACATGTTTGAAATGTGAATTAAGGAATATATATGTGTATATATGCAACACTTTTAATTATTTGGAATTTATAAACTGTTTTTGCTTAAAAAGGTAAAATGTTCTCATAAGTCTTGAGTTAATTCACAATAATTTCAATTGTTATTGAAAATATATCAATACAATAATTCCCTGCACACTCAAGCACGAATTAATTTATTTAGCCATGCTCCCCAAGTGTATCTAGTGTACTGGTGGCATCTGAAGTTCTTTTAGAGTTTAAACCAATGAGAGGTCAACAATAATGAATTCTCTTTTACTTGATCTAGATACATTTTCTTTGCAAGTATAAATTATTGTTTTACTTTTGCCAATGGTGGAGATTAGATACAGATGTAAGCCGAGAGTGCAGTAGATGAGATTTACCTGTCCCGCCTTGCATTCAGAACCGAAGACTGTCCATTCACTATGGAATGATGTGTTATTGGTGGTGATGCTTTGGAAGAGTTGGAGGAGGTAGTCGAGGAGGAATTGTTAGTTGTGAGGTCTAGCCCTCCATGTTTAATGCCATTGTCTTCCATACTGTGGACTCCAGTCACTTCTTTCCATAATTGCTGAATCTCAGCAGGACTTAGGCCAGCTATGAAATGAAAGGAAGCCCCACTGACATAACGTGTAACATTGAATATGATGGTCTTATAAGGGCTTTATAAAAGGAATTAATGCCATAGTAAAAATTAATGCATGATAAAAACACTATTTCACCACCAATATCAAAGTTTTTGTATACCAAATAAAAAAAGTTCTTTATTTGAAAAGAGTACTACGAAAAACTGTGTTGGAAAATATACTGTTATTAAAAATCTATGTATGTTCTATTTAAAAAGTAGATATTCAGATTTGATTTACAGCTAGTATTTTTAGTGAGATGAGATTTTATAAATAACATGTCAAAATAATTGAAAAGCACAAAAATAAAAAGTACAAACATCAAGCTCAAATAACATTCAACTCTAGGGAGGGGCAGAGAGGGAGAGAGACAGACAGACAGACAGGCAGACAGAAAGACAGATATAGCAATTATCTGGCCATAGTAGTCTTTATCACAGAAGCCAACTATATAATTGAATTTCAATTTAGGTCCTGAATAAACCAATATGATTACCTCCATGGTTCATTTAAGTAGATAATATCTAAATCTCTCCTTCAGTTATTACTGGCTAATAGAAAACTCAAATTCTCACTTTAAACAACTTCCTGGATCATATTATTTACGTTTACTTCCTAAACAATAGTGGAAATAGAAAGCCTTGGCATGGTATTTAGATTTTGACTATTATCTTGAGGAGATATTTTGAAATGTCTTAAATGACTGTTGTTTACTAAGAGAACATTAAAACTGCGATTTAAACTTCCCCCATCCCCAACACAGGTAATATCTCCAATTGATAACCACTTTCAATGAAAAATTAGTTTTGTCCAAGGTATTCTCACAGGAGAGACAAATCGCTTTTAAGGGTAGACCTAATGCCCAGCAGTAGATGACTTATTTAAAATGAAATCAATGGCATTTTTGGATGATTTTTTTGCCTCATAATGTTGTGACAGAGCAGTGTGTGTGTGTGTGTGTGTGTGTGTCTGTGTGTGTGTGAAACTATATGTGTTTCTTGTACTTTTTCTTTGAATCTTGATTATCTTCTGTTTGTTCATTTTGTATCATTGCAATTTGTTTTATCTTATTTTATTTTGTTTTGCTTTGTTATTAATCCTTAGACGCTTGCTTGTTTTCTAACCAAGGACAGAAAGTTTGTGTATCCAGATGGGAGGGGTTACGACAGAGAAACTGGGGGGGAGTTGGATGAGGTGAAACCATAATTAGAATATAGTGTATGAAAAAATAATTTCAATGAAGGAGATATAAATAAGTTTGCTATTAAAATATTTTATTATGAAAATATCAATATATAAAAGTATGTTGCAGGAAGTAAAGCTATAATTTTAATTACTGTCTTTTACTAAACACATAATGTAATCTGAAGCTTTACCAAATGGTTTATATTAATGAGTCCAATGAACCTCACTGGATGTCAGTACTCATAACTTGCAGGTGAGCACAAGGTTCACTTCAGTCCAAACACTGTGCTCTCTAATATGATATAGAGGCTTATGGAATAATCAGCATCTCAACCAACATATATTTACACCAGAGGCTGAAGTCAGGGACATCTGTCTAAGGATATGTGGAAAAGGGTTCATAGGAGGAGGAAAGAAAACTAGAGCAAGGTAATATAAATCCAGGGATAGAGTGAGCACTCTTTTCTCTAGCAGTGTGTATGAAGAAGTCACTTGTCTAGAGATAGTGGTAAATAACCAGTAGCCAGAATTCTCACTAGCCCAGTTGTAACTTCGTGCCAAATCATACCTCACAATGGTAACACTAAATTGCTTCACATATGCCAAGTTTAGATACTGTTATTTTATCCAAAGTTATCATTTTGGTAATTCTGGATCCCCAATATTTTAAGGCACACTCTGAGACAATAGGACCAACTGGACAATCTGGCTTTCTAAATAGATTTTAGAATAACTTCATTTTTTCTTGTTTAAAAAAAGTGTTTTTCTAATGGTATATGTCTTTTTTGTTGTATCGGAAACTGTTTTTATATAAATATCATTAACAGGTGCTTTATTGGTAGCATTAACTCAGAATCATGAGCCTTTTTTTACCTGAACTTTTTATGACCTGTCTGAATGTGTTACGTGTCCTAAGAGTATAACCCCAGAAGGAAAGCTCCTTCCTGTTCAGCACCTACATAGCTGCTCTACACCACACTACTGCCATCCTGTCCCATCTCCAGAGTTTAGCATAAACTACCACAAGAGCTTCATGGTCTCCTCTCACTTTTACTGGATTTGAATTATGCAAATTTGTTCTTCATATGGAAGCCACATATTATCTATTTCAGTATAAATTAGGCCATGTCCATCCATTCTCAGGCAAGCACTGCAGCAGCCTTTTTGAATGATTAGATACAAAGTGAAAACAAGCAAAGAAAAAAAAAACCAACCAACCAAACAACCAAAAATGGAACCCTTACTATGGCCAGCAATACTGCTTTTTTTCTCTTGCTTGACATCAGCTGTCACCCTCTCCATATTTCTTTACATTGAAGCCATCTGCTTTTTGCGATGCTTCAAATATTCACTTAAGTTCAGATATCTGCTCTGGCTATTCCCTGAGCTACAGATACTCTCATTGAGGATATTCCCAAGGTTTGATCTTTCCCTTCACTTAGAAGGCTTGTAAAATAGTCTTTGACCTTAGTAGCAACCAGTGTCTTCCTCCTCCTTGTCTTCTATCATTCTGTTACTCCTGGACTACTTTTACTCAGAAATATTAATTTAACATCTGAAATTATGCAAAGACTGGTTTGTCCATGGATCTCTGACTCTTGTCTGACTCTCCAACTCTATCTTCTTCTTCTCTTATGCTATTTCATTACCATCATTCCACTCTACTAAAGTTTGTTTGACAAACAAGATCAGGTTTGTTTTTTCTGTCATGTTCCAGTCCTTTAAACAGTGCCTGCTATGTGCTCAGTAAAGACAGCTGATGTCTTTCTTTGTAATGGAGTAACATAGTTCTTGAAGATCTGTTGATGGCCACATTGAAATTTGGTTGCCTTTAAAGAGTATCTTATGTACAAGAATTGCTATCTGTAAGATCAATGACTAAAGAGTTACACATGGGACTGCTGAATTCTAATGTACATTGAGTCACTATTAACAATTGACACTCTTGCATACTTACTATACTTTGAGAGACTACAATTGGTAATTTGTTATTAATATTTAGTTTATGGGATTCATTAGTATTTCAATGGTTTTCATGGCACTTGTCATTATATAGAACTTACTGATATCCTCATGTAATAAAAAGGTGACAAGTGCTAGGTACTTATTAGCACCTAAAAAATTTGATGATTAACCTGCTTACCAATCAAGCAGTGCTTGTTAATTAAAGGCAGAGAAAAAAGTAGTTTCAATTATTAAAGAGAAGTGCCACAGTGTTTACCCAATAATGTGGCATACAACCATATTCTCAGGATATTAAAAAAACATGACTAACCACAGGTCACAGCAGTGAACCACAATTGTGGAGGCAGGATTCAGATTTAAGTTTCATAGTGAATCCAGAGTCCAGATCACCCTTAGGTGAAATTAAAAATTGAAACTACCACCTTGATTTGAGGACAAAATTGTTCCAGCTAATGATTGCTTAAACTTTTCTTGATGGACATAAAACAATGTATGACTATTAAATCACTAGCTGGTCAATTTGTACAGTTGATAATGTTTTATGAGTTATGAAGTCTTAAGGTTTCTTTTCCAACTGTAACATAAAGTTCTACTAGCTAGTACTCTGTTGTCTCACAGTCCTCCTGTCCTGCTCTTCTGTAGGTATGTTATGTCACATTCATGACCTAAGTGAAATAATTATGTAATGTCAAGAACCAAAGAAAACCTATTGTCTAAGTAAGTAAGATATGAAAGCTTCCTGTGCAAGCACGAGGACCAGAGTTCAAATCCCCAGAACGTGGTTACACATGTCTATAAAACCATCATTATGGTAGGTAGAGGCAGGATGATGGCTAGAGATTACTGTTCACTAGCATGCCTCCAGTTTCAGTTAAAATCATATTCTCTAGAGGATGATAGTGCATGGTATTTGATGTTCACCTCTGGTCTCCAAGTGTGCATATGATTGTAACCACCCCCACAAAGTGGCATACAGCATATGCATGCATGAATGCACATGTACTCATGCACATGTGCATGCTCTCTCTCTCTCTCTCTCTCTCTCTCTCTCTCTCTCACACACACAAAACTGGGCATAGTGGTGCATTGCTTATTTGTAACCCCAGCATAGGGGAGTATGAATAGAATTACATGGATCCCTGAAACTCATTGGCTAGCAAGCCTAGCAGAATCAATGAACTCTATGTTCAGTGAGACCCTGCCTCATATATGTATGAGAGATTATTATAAAGACACTAAAGATAGCCATTTGACCTTTTTGTGCATGCATACACATGTGCACAAACACATATGCCTTCACACCTGCACATATTCACATGCAAAAACATAATAAAATGTGAATGTATATATATACCAATAAACAAATCACTGTGATACAGTATAAGTCTACTGTGAATATTTAATTAATTAAATGTCATTTAATGGTACTTTGCAAATTTCTAGGGCTACTTACAAAAAGCAATAAAAGTTTGGTTTGAATATTTGTTCCATTCATAGTTTATTAATTTGGCATTCAACATCTGAAATGAGGTATTTCTAAGTAATTTCCACTTTTTGATCTTAAGTTTATATTTTGAAAAAAGTATCATACATGCATAGCCATAATAACCATATTGTCCTGAAAAGTTTGTACTAGAAGAGTCAATTCTCTACCAGTTCTAACCTCTCAATCTCCTCCTCCAGAAGAGAGATCAAATGTCTGAATCATCTTACAGAGACCTATGTATTTTCTTAGATTCAGCTGAATAAAATACAGTGTTATGTACATTAAAACCACCTACTAGTGTAATACTCATCCTTCATATGTTTGTGTGATCAGAG